GCGCCAAACGAAGTGTCTTTCTGAATCTCCGGGTTGGACCCCAAATTGCAATCGCCCTCCAGCACGCTAGGATGTCACTGATAATGAACTTCGCCGCGTTTGTTGTCAGCAAGGTGTCTACATACTTCCAGGAGATCATACGTACAAGAAGACCAGTGTCAGAGGTGTTTGCGGATAGCCACTGGGCCAGAACGTAGATCTTGGAGGCGTGGATTGCTTCTGCGTAGTTGAGCCTCCGATCGGTCATCGAGGAAGTGTCCACGTCGAGCAGACCATTCTCGATTATGGTCTTCAAAGGAATCAACGCGGCCAAGCACCAATCAAATGTGACGAGGCACATCGTGGCTATGAGGGCGAGAGTAAGCCAGATGGTTCGCCCTGTGACCTTGTCCGGTCTGGTTCTGCATGCTGAGATTGTTAGCCTAGTGATCGTCGGGGTGGTCAACTATCATACGCGACGGTATACATAGCTACCCCCGTCAGTGTGCAGTATACTCCTGTACGCATTTGGCTTGGTCAGCATTGGGGGAATTACAGGTAGGGAAAGGGTCGAGGCGCACTCACCGTACAAGATCAAGCCGGGCAAAAGATGACAAAGCATATACCGAATTATCATACCAAGTCGAGAGATGACCATGATATTCTCTGGAGTCAGAAGAGTCGGGTCGTCCGTTGGGAAATCCATCGATGAGAGCTGGCGCCAGAAAGGTGGGAACCTGAGGCTTGCCTTCAGAAGCCGCCCTCATTAAGTATGCGTGCGAGAGAGACTATTAGCGCAGTCACTCCATTATGACAGTAATGAACGTGGTCTTCCAATGATGCATGCGTCGAAGCACTTACCACCGGCGATATTAAGAACCAAAGCGCCGCAAGATAGTCGCCATAGAGGAGCAATACATCCTGTTGAACAAACACGATGACATGATAAATAGGTGGGAGAGCATGGTGTGTTTGCAAACCTAAAGCTTTGGAAACGGACTATGTCCTGTTCATCGCATTGCCTTGTGTACTGTCAATCACCGGAGGCACCACCTTCTCTGCACGAGCACGCGCTACGCCCAATCAGTCCAATTGACATACAGTGGTTCTTCCCACCGTAAGGCTAGCGAATACATCGGTGGCAAGGAGAGTGCCTTGAGCGAGCCGTTTCCGTCATGAAACGACCAGACCGGTACAAATGCAATGATGAAAGCTCAAACATATCTCCCAGTGACGACGATGCGCGTAGAGATCAGCGACACTTCAAAGCTAGACCAGAAGCGGCTTCTTCCTCCGCCGACAAGCCTCTTGGGCAGAGTTTATCATAGCACAGATGTAGATTCAATCAAATGCGCACGCTCGTGGAACTTGAAGAGCAGGAAGAAGCGACGAGCAGGACAGCGAAGACGTTGAATCTTAGCCCTGGTGGTGGTGTGAAGAGGGATACAACGGTGGCTCAAGTGATGGGGCTCGGGATGATCCGGCGAACTCCGTGTTGGTCGAGTTTCCTTCTTGTTCTCCCACCGTCCCAGTCATTCGTCCATTCCAATCGGACAACTCTGCCCTCAACTTGAGCCCGTCTAAGCCTCGCCAGGAATGATATCAATACACTCGCATCATAAGCTGTCCCTCGATCGGTTGCCTCAGAGCGTTTCTCACGCGGAGGTCGAGCAACACGAAAGGGTCTTGTTCTGGCCAGGCTACGATGCGAAAGCTCCAATACCTACGAGCGCTAGCGACTCAACTCCGGGTGTCCAAGATCCTGTCGATATCTCACTTTCTTTATTTACCCTTGTGAACCAACTCTTCCGGTTCTTCTACGTCTCAGGCACACATGGCTTCGATTCTGAGTCTGTGTACCTCCCTCCCGCTTTACGTGTACTTGGTCGTCGAAAGACTGAGCGCGGATTACAGAGCTGTGAGCCACGCAAATATTGGATATCCGGCTGACGTGAGATAACTCTCGGCTCTCCATCGCAGACGCCTGGGAACGGCCGCAGTGGACACGGAACGACGGTGTGAGCACTGACGAAAAAATACGTGTGCAGCCGTGTGTGTCGAAATCGGAGGTCTCTGCAAATGGTGCTAAACATTTTCCCGTCTCCCTTCCTAAGCATCATAAAACCCTTAGAATCTGCACTGACATCAGCTTCAACCATCCAACCTTGAGCCTCAATGTCGCCCTCACACGAGAAAACATCCTTCTCCCACATCGAAAACGTAGGCACCGACACCGGCTCCATCCAAACCTCCTCCATGCCACTTCATCCCTCCACACAGCCAGCCATCTCCCTCACCCCATCTCAATACGAACGACTCTTCCTCCAGCCCGGCGGTCCACCTTCTCGAACCCACGATCTGTCCCGCCAATTCGGAAACCCGTCCCCACTGGGGATGTTATCGTTCATCCTATGCCTTTCCCCGACTGCTTGTTTCTTACTGTGCTTCGACGGAACGACGGGAGCGTCGAGCGTTGCGCTTATAGGTACGTATTACTTTGGGGGCGGATTGGGGCTGTTCGCGGCGGGATTGCTGGAGTGTGTGAGTACATTTTCCTTGGTGATTCGCTGAGAACCGGGCTGATTGGTAATTTGCGTTCTCAGATTCTTGGGAATACATTCCCTTTCTGTAAGTGTTGCTCACACCTACTCATCTCACTGTCCACGGTCCGAAACTGACCGCACCGCTTTGCAGTGGTCTTCACCACCTTTGGCGGTTTCTGGTACGTCGCACCTCGAGCATCATCAATCGATAGTAGCTGTGTCTGACAGATAACATTGTCCCAAATTCTATTTTGGCGTTCTCAACGACCCAGCGCATATGATCACCTCGGCGTTCACAGGTGGACAGGCGGCCGTGGACTACAACTCTGGCTTAGTCTTCAGCTTCATCTTTCGGGTGCGTTAACACTAGAGCCGGCTTGACGTGTGCGATATTTGTCTAGCGCCACACCGTGTACAGATCGTGTTGATATCCGTGTATTGGCTCACTGCGTGGCGGACGAACGTCGTCTTTGTGTTGAGTATCTACTATGATGTGGGACTTGCGGCTAAGCTTCATGCAGGGAGTATTCACGACACTATGGATCATAATGGTCTTTCGTGCGTTCCCTTCTCATCAGTCTCAACTTTCTCTGCCCAGCTCACAGCATCTGTATATCCAGTGGCTGTCGCATACGACAAACTTGCGAACAACGATCTCAACTCTGCGTCAACGTATCTCAAAGTTTCAGGCGGGTTTGGATTGGTAAGTCAATGTGTATCTCTTGACTCGAATTGAGCATACTAAGAACCTTGTCGCGCAGGTGTCCTCAGCGCTGGGGTGGTACTCCGCTTTCGCACTCGTCATGGCGTCGGTAGGTATGCCGTTCACTATTCCGGTGGGGGATTTGTCGACGAGGGTCCTGACGGGGAAGAAGCAGAGAAAGACGGGGGCGGAGTCGGATGTGAGGAATGGTGACGCTCGAAGAATTGTTTGAGGAGGGTCGTATAGGTTGAGTGACGATGGCACTCTTTCAACGAAGACGATGCTGGACATCTCATGTGTAGTGTTGTGATGTACAATATATTCTTCTTCTAAAGCCTTTCCCCTGAGGGATGTACTTACGTCTGTGCTACAGGCGCAGAACCTAGCGCAGGTTGAGATCGTCTCGTCTCCTGTCACAGCAAATAAATCAGATCGCGCTTGATCATCCCATACAGTTAAGGATCCACATACCTCACTCGCTCGTCACCAGGAAGAAACTCGCACCAACCAACGTCATCCCATACTGCTTCCCAAAATCCACCGCATTCCAGCTTCGGCGCTGCTCCAGCTCCGAACCGTACTCAACGGCACCTTCAGGGACGCCCGAGAAGTCGGCGGGCTCGCGGAAGAGGACGAACGCTATGTCACAAGTTGTACGTCAGAAATGTAAGAAAAAGCCTGGGAGGATGGACTGACTGTATCTGTGCAGGCCGCTTCCTGGGCGAGGACCTGGGGCACGGTATGGGCAGGTTGAAGGGCGGGTCTTCATTGCGAACGGTGGGGCGGTTTGGGACGTAGATGCGGGAGACTGCTGGAGGCCAGTGATCTGTATTATGCCGTGTGGTGAGACTTTTGAGCTAAGTGCACATAGACGATGACAGAAACGTACAACCCAGTGCCTGAACTGCGTGATCCCAGCGAGTCAGTACCTTGAGCAAACACGTCACATAGACTGAAGGCATACCTGACGATAGATCGGCTCTGCTCCACTAGGGGCATCGGGATCAGTCAACACGAGAGTATACCTCGTGCTCTCATCCACAGGTGCGATGTCGTTCGGATTAGGTCCCGTCATGGGTGTGATCGTCACTTCAGGCTCGTCTGCGGTTTCTTCTTTAGTGACGGTATCGCCTGAAATGTTATAGAAACAATTCAAGCACACTCTTCAGCAATATCCAGTCGTAAGTAAGAAAAGCGTCCTCACCTAGCGTAACCTCTCCGCGTACAGGGTACGTAACGCTGAACAGCGTCGTCGGGACGAAGCCAGTCTCCTTGATCACGTCTGGGATCAGGGATTGGGCCTGTAGAGCGTGATTGACGGCGGAAAGGGGGTCTGCGCGGCGGGCCATAGTAGACTCTGGTTACGGTGAATAGGGAAGATGAGAGGTTGGGGAAGGGTGCACGAAAGCGAGGTATAACTTACTATAAGAGTCCACAGATCATGGTGACGGTGATCATCGGCGCGAGAGGATACACCGGTTGTTTCGACGGGCCGACAGAGGGCCGGAAAGCGGTTTCGCGTTGCAGCTTTGGCAGCCTGCCTGTCCGGATCCGCCTGGCGCCTGGCAAATTCCTACCTGTAAACCATTACTGGTACCGTTGAACGGTAGGTAACGTCGACGTGGTACCAAACGCTGAGCGCGAGAACCTGGGAGCAGCATGGAAGCCTGAAGGAATCTCAAGACAGGCCGAAGAACTCAGAAGGGAAGAAAAATAGATTAGCCAGGACTGCAAGAGACCAGCATCAAAAACGCTGGTGATGAGATTTTTAGCAACGACGCCTGCAGGGTTCGAACCTACGCCCTCATAGAGGAATGGATAATTGAAAGTTCAAATCCATCGCATTAACCACTTTGCTAAGGCGCCTTTGTCGCAGAAAGACACCTGCTTTTTATATTGCTTGCTAGGGAATGGTGTTTGGTAGTTGTCGCGCTTCTGTATTTCTTGGGCTTTGACATCGCTAGCTTGGACTCCCGCAGAGTTCAAGTGTTTTGGCATCACAAGATTTGAGGGAACACAAACGATATCATGCCTACATGACTACAAATGATTGGTATACGCGCCACGTGCACAACAATACTATGCAAACTCCTCCCTTGTGTCTTGATTGAGTTCCGGCTTCTTTCTGATGCTGAAAGACATGAACTTGTTTCCGTCGGTGCATTTCTGTCCCGGTGATCAGCATAAACATAGCCAAGACAATTGTATTGTTAGCTGATGAAAATTGTGGGCATGTGCTTTTGCTTTTCACATTCCTGTCATTAGGAGTTGTGTACAATTGCAGTACATGTTACTTTGCTTCTCAAGTTGTACCCACATTCTACTAACCGCTGATGAGATTTGAGGCTAGTAACGCGCTCATTCAATGTGATCTGTCCCCTCAGGTCATAGCGCTATCAAGACGCACCTTCATCTCCATCTCAACTGAGAACCATCATGAGTTATATGTGCTTGCCTTCAGCACCAGAAGACCGCAGTCTCTTGAGCCTGAGAGGAAGTATAAAGACTTAGCGCATGCAGAGAGAACCCATCAATCCAGCTCGAGGCACCTTGTTACCTTGTGTTAGCATCTTGTGCCTGTCAACATCTCTTCAACAAACCTTACTGTTATATTCATGCATCAGTGTGACTCCTGTCTTCACTGAGATCACATTCTGCCTGTGCCTTCTATTATCCAGATTGCATATTTCTACTCCTTCCAGAATATTCCCTTCCCTTTCCA